GGCATTACTCCCCACCTGTTTTAAGGTCCTATCCAAGGTCCTCACTATGAGGATTGAAACACAACTGAATGAGAACGAAAACTGGAGTAGCTGCCAACCGGGCGCAATAAAGGGTATCCAGGTATGTGCTGACAGCTCTATGATTGTCCAAACTTGCCTTGAGGATGCTCGAAGAAGAAGTAAACCCATTGTGGGGGTTTTTAAGGACCTCAAGTCGGCCTTCCCTTCCTTGCAACTTGTGCTTATAAAGAAAATCATTAACCCCACGGGAGTCCCGGAAGAGCTCGAAAAACTATGGGTTAGCACATGTACAGGGAATAGGGTAATCTTCTGCGTCAATGGAAAATACTCACGCCCCCTAGAGGTGAAAAGAGGGGTAGCCCAGGGCAACACGATCTCAGCGCTCACATTCAATGTGGCAAGAGATACAGAGTCGAAGTGGATTGAAAAAGAAACCAAAGGATACTCTTTGGAAAATGTTGAAACCATAGTACCACTGCTTGATTATATCGACGACCAATTGATGTTATCCGACAATAAGGAGGATATCACCAAGATGATCGAAATATCAGATGCCTGGATGTCATGCGCAACCATGAGATTTGGAATGGATAAGTGCACTTTCTTTGCAGAAGACTACACCAAAGGGGTACGGAGAAATTGGGACCTCGATATCTGCCTACAAGGGAATGTTGTCCAAAGAGTCAAAAGGGGAGACACCTACAGGCATTTGGGTCAGGAGGTGTCCAGTGGGCACGAAGTGACTAACAAGCGATACACGAAAGATACCAGACTAGTCAAACTGGAACAAAACCAGAAACGACTAGATCGAATTAGCGAGCCTGATATGGCTAACCTTCGTGCGGTAAATAARATTGAAATCATTGAGACAGCAGCGAAACCCCTTATTGACATAATATTTAATGCTATCGAGGTCCCAAAAACAGTATTGAACAAAGCGGACAACGTAATATACAAAGCAGTACGAGCAATGATTGAATTCCAAAGCAAAAAAAGAATTTCACTACTCTTTCAGGCACACCCCAAGCAGATGGGACTCAGGGTRCCTTCGACAAGACAAATAGAGGCCACAACCCTGGCGAGAAACACATTCAACTGGCTAAATAGCAATTGCCCTACCACCCGATCTGCTTTCACATGGTGGATCGAGCTCTTCCGAAGGGACGCGGGAATAGACTTGGATCGTGAGGGCCAACACTTCCTTAATTGGAAGGTTACCCTTAACAGTGACCAGGATGACCCTGGCTGGAAAGCAGAAAGCACAGGGAAAACCTGCCTAGTCCTACATGGTGAGGAAGGAAATTCACGATCCAAAGGAAGAACGTTCATAGCGAAAATATACTTCCTCTTCCTAGAAACCAGGTTCAAAATAAATGTGCAAGGCAAGTTCTACGAGGAAAAGGTTGACATAATCAACGCAAAGGAACTAGTGAAAGCCATACGAAAGAATTACCAAAAGGAACACACCGAAGGGTTACAAGACAAAAATGCATACTTACAGTTCTTGTGCCCGGAGGTGCAGGCCAATGCGAGCAGAAGATGACTTAGGAAGGATATTTTGACAAACGACCAATACCTCTTTATGGTAAGGGTCTGTTATAACAACCTTCAGTGCAACTCGGTAAAAAACGTATATAATACATCAATAAACCCGACATGCACACTGTGTCAGACGGGACAACGAGAAACAATAAAACATCTACTATGCAAGTGCCCCAACGAGACATAACAAGGTAATAAAGGAATTCACGAGATGGCTGGAGCAAAGATCCGATGCAGGGATACTCCAAAACCTTAACATATCCCAGGAAAATCTAACTGCAATCCAAGGGGATTGGGCGATTGGGAGCCACATGCAATCACTACGACTGGACGTACCAATCTCACACAGTAAAAAGAACAAATGTGTGAATGAAATATAGAAATTTACTGTGTGCATGGACAATGCAACCAAAAAGGCTCACGATAAAAAAACGGACAAATATAAGCCGTTGATAAGCAGTCTGCTGTCGCAAGGGGTGGAGGTCCAATATCAGGTGGCTGCATTGGGAGTCACACGGTCTATACCACATTATGTGAAGAAAACCCTAAACAGGATCTCTCCTAGATTCACCATTGGAGTGCTGGCAGATCAATGGCAAAGGGCAATTGTGGCATATAACCACAAGATATGGATCAAAAGGGACGAAATACTAAGACGGACCTCGGACCCCTTTGCCACCACCTAGTAGGACTCCTAAGACCCGGGATAAGAACGCGAAAGTCTGATAATTCTACCCGGTGAGAAACAACAAAGTCAAAATGGCACAAGACGTTTTGACATAGGGGAACTCCCACCCCATCGCAGAAACCTTGAAGGCCACCTCGGTAAAATGGATCACGACCCTCTAGAAGGGAGGAAGCAATAAGGGAAGCCCATCACCTCGGGAAGGGAGGAAGCAATAAGGGAAGCCAAGAAGAGCCAGTAAAGGGAAATGGACCAAGCGGTGTCAAAATTGGAAGGGGCAATGTTGCAAAGGAATCCGTGACCCTTTAACGAGGGAATTGGGAGTCAGAGCGGCATCCCCCTGGCTGTGTCGGTAGGACCCCTCGAAGCCTCGAGGAGAGTGAGATGTGTGCCTATCACTCGTGCGAAACAGCAGTCCAATCGATACCCCTCGCTGCAAAAACAGGCGGACTCTCTCAACCATGAGAGGGGCGTTATGATGAAAGGGCTAGGCTTAGAACGACCACGCAACAGCCCGC